GGATGTGAGCACAGTGAGGCAGAGGATGGTGTGTTTCAGTGGTGGTACAGTGGGTCACCTCTCCTGGTGCATGTCTTTACAAGAGCAGCATGCTCTTGTTCATCACTGCAGCAGTACATAGCTAATGGTTGTTCTGTTCAACTGGGTTGAAAAAGTGTGTTTTTTCGTGTTTTTTTTTTTTTAGCTGAAAACTTGCTCTATCAAATAGTGCTATTTTGCTTTTTGTATCTGTTGTAGTTTCCATGGAAATAAATAAGAGGTATTACTCTTGAAGTGACCTACATAGTATGTCTGTATATCTAGTGGACTTTCTTACCACTGGTTTTTCAGCTCTGTTACTCTTCCATGAGTTCTCAAATGCAGAAAGCACTAATGCCCTGTGTTAGTTTTTTTTTTCCAAGAAGACTGCATGCATTACCATAGTATAAACATATGACAATCAAGTTCTCTGTGTCCAGAAGTCCTTCCAATTTACATCATGGCTAAAGCCTCGCTGCCTCAGAGTCACGAGATGTACTTTTATCAAACCAGCCTCTCAACAACTGCTATAAACTTGTGCTAGTATAGCCAGACAGTCCTTGGCAGTGATCTTTCTTTTGCTGATGTGAAGTACAGGTGGGGTAGATTAGCACCTTTATACAAAAGGCAGTAGATGTATTCTGGTTGGTTGACTTCACTTGTAAACCTTTTAGATGCTGGGTGGAAAAGCTATATTTTTTTAATAGCTCAAATAGCTGGCGGAGTCAGTGCAGACACAGAAATGAAAAAAAAAATTATTCAGAACTTATAATAAATAATAATAATAATTGCCCAGATTATTTAGACCATTAGCTTCATTGTTGTGCTGTACAGTCATCAGTAAATCCAACTTGCTAGAGGCAAAATGATTAGCATGTTTGGGTAAAGTCTTCCAGCAATCATTAGCTCACCATTGAGCTCTCTGGTTGACCCTTTTGTTACAGCTGGAAGAGTAGGTAATCTGTTTGCTGGATTTCCTTTTTTTTTTATGTCACTTTTGAGGCTGAAAAAAAGAAAGCTCCCTGAGGTGTTTATAATGTTATACCTTAGCAAATTTACTAGACACAATTATCTCAGCTAAGCATTTATTAGTCTGTTGGCAGACAGTAATTAACAGGAAACAGTGATGTTTCTAGTGTTGAGAAGAGCATATAATTATTACCAGAGCATGTGAATGGTAAGCTTAGTAACTGCAAGTGTATGAAAAGCTGCTTTTGGTACTTTGAATAGGAAGTTATCATCTTCCCTTTTCTATTGATGCAAGTCAAATTACAGTTCTGCGCTGACTGCATTCACCTGCTTAGCAAAGGCAAAGCAGACCATGATGTAGTAGGAAGGAAATACCTTCATAAAATAGAGCACGTAACTTTTTCTTCTGAGGAAAAATTAAATACCTTGTTCTTATTTGCTCACCTGTTGTTACTGAGGTGATTACTGGAATTGCCGTTTGCAGACAAGGAGTGTGGGAGAAAAACCTATTTGCCTTAGCTGGTGCTATGTGTAGCAATAGCCCCAGTGATGGATGTTCTGGGAAATTTGACTTACCAGTCTGCTACTGATAGGAGCTAGAGGCAACTGTTTAAATCTGTCACTAGATGTATGCAATTTTCCTTCAGGACTTGGCAAATAAAATGACACTTTGTCACTTCTGATTGTTGGTGCTTCTGATGTTCACGATATGCAATCTTTCAGCTGTGCTTTCACATTGTACTTCAGGCCTTTCTACCAGCAGAGCCTTGTACCACAGATTACTTTGGCTTTTAGGTTTGGGCTCACTTCCTACTCAGTGAGAAGCACTGCCATGAATCTGTGGGGTAAATGAATCCCAAAGGGACAGGGCTGTGGAGAAGGGCCTGCAGCCTCATCTCTTGCCCTCATGCTGCAGAGGCTTTTTTTTTTTAACCCACTTACCTCCCCTATGCTTTCAGCATGTGTTCTGGATGTTGTTTGAAGGATAACCCGATAACTGGTGTTCACTGGTACTTGCTCAGTTTCCATTTGCTGGAAATTTGGGCAGCTCTCCATTGCAGAGGGTAAAAAATAAGTATTCTCTGTGCCAGGTGATGCCAAGTTATTTGGGTAGGAAATAGGATGTGTGCTCTTGCAGCTTCTGAAGACTTGTTCTGATCGAGCTCTTGTGAGCACCACAGAAGCCCTTCACTGCACTGGATGCAAATTCTTTTGTTCTTAGTTGCATCATGGCATAGTGGAGAATCTGTAGGCTTGCAGCCATTCCAGTGTCTGCAGGGTGCATTTGAAAGAAATAAGAACATTACATCAGGTAGCTGGCTGCAGGAAACCCAAGCCAAGCTTTTGAAATGACATATGACTAATCTTGGTGTTTAAGAGGAGGAAAAGGCTGGGGAAAAATACTTGTTGGTAATCAACTAATTCTGCAGAAATGTGGGGTGAGGAATACTGTATAGGACACACATGAAAGAGCACTTAAATGTAATATAATTGCATTGTAGAGCATATATAAAAAAAATCATAAGATATATAATGTTTGTATATAATCTATATATACATACACACAGAGGACTATCTTGTAAAGCTGTACAGTTACCCAGTGCTACAGGACAACTTATTAAATGTACAATTCTATGGAGAGAGAAATAACCACTGTGAAGCTTCATTGCAGGCTTTGGGCATGCCTGCGTTAGGATGCAGCCTTTGCATAGGTAATACCTTACCCATGTAATCCTGTTGCCTAATTAGAGTATGCAGGAAAATGTTATTTTTCTTAGATTGCACCCTTTCTCCTGTGTCTAGTGAATATTAGACCAAACTAATTCCTGAAGGGACCTATGACTGCAAGGGTGCTTGGCATTATATACTTGACAGTACTTGAAAATGCTGAAGTCACTTTGTTTTTCTCTGCAAACATAAGCTCCTAAAAATCCCCTAATAGGTCAACAGTTTCCATGGTTGATTATAGTTAACTGTTAAAAAGGTTTTCACTCTTCTACATGTTATCTTGCTTAACTTTGAAGAAAATTTGCCACTGGTTTTGTTGGTTTTTTTAGCCTCATTTTGTGCTTTTACAAAGTAAGAATGAGTGAATTCTGCCAACTCATTTGTTTCTTTTTTCAATCTTTAGGTCTTCTCAATCTAAGCTTTTTCAATCTTAACAAACAGCATATTACAATGATTAATGTGAGCAAACACATTTTAGTGTTGTCTGCTAGGGGGAAGCACATCTGAGCTTGTCCAAGTGCTATTAACGAGGCTGTTAAAAGCAGTGAATTATTGCTGCTGTCTTTAGTTACTGTTGTTGTGAATCGTGTGACTTGATGAAATAAACTGTTATTGCTGAGCAGCTGTAACAAAACAAAAACTGAGCAAGAGATCTTTGCCTGTTAACAATTAATCTGTTTTGGGAAAAGAGTGATCTCTTCAAGTTGGGGGGGGGAACAAAAACTTTGCCAGCTCTTTCATTTCCAGAAGGAGTTCTTCAATTTAATACAAAATCAATGGTCACAGGCAGGAGCATGTGTTGTTAAACACGTGATTTATTAGCAAAACAAACACAAGACATTTTGCGGCGTAAAGTGATCTCCTGTCTTTGTGGATCTTCTGATTTCTCAGTGTTTTTGCTTCTGGATGATCTCTTTGGTGCTACGATGCACCTGCACGCTGCCTGACCAGTCTGGTGTGTGCTTGTTTCAGCTGCTTAGGCTTTTGTCACATACCTGCCTCCCTGCAGGAACTGCTTCTAAAAAGTTCCTGTAGCATTTCTTTGCTGTGAGTCTATGGCATCTGCAGAGTCTATTGAGCCCAAGTCCAACATGAGTCAAAAGTTAACAAGGTGCCCTTGTTGATTATGATTTTATGAGTTGAATGATCACACCTATCTAGGATAATGTTTTTATGTAGGATGAGTACAATCTTTGCTTACAATATTGTGGTTACTTTATTGCCTTCTGTGCTACAGTAGATCATGCTTAGAATTGCTTTATTCTGCTCTACGCAAGTACACAAATTGTAGCTTGAGAAGTTCATAAAAATGATGTGTGAGAAGAGTTTGTGGATCCTTATATCTGGTGTATGCCCACTTTTGTTCAGCTGTTTGTACCAGAAGGTGTACACAGTTGCAAATTATCACACTTAGCACCAAGCCAGATACCACATGTAATAGCTCTTGATAAATGTTCTGAGGTCGTCAGTAAGCTGCTGTCCCTCTTCCCAAATGTGGGCTGTGTTGAGGTGCGGTGTTGGCGTGGTAGGCCTAAATGATGATGTACTTATTTTGGGGAGGGACTACCTGAACACGTTCAATCTTACTGCACTGGATTACGAAGCAGAAGGCAGATGTAGTTTCTAATTGATCGGTGCTACAAAAGGGATTTTTTTCCTTGTATATCTGCAATCTATGTTTTCGTGCTTGTCTTGTAAGGAAAGGGCTTATCCATTCTGGTTGAAGAGGAGAGAAAAAAGGAAAGAGTAAAAGCTTTCTCTGTAAACCAGAGAGAGATGCTTGCTCATGTTACAGGACGATATTCAAAGACAAGCTCTCCTCCTACCTAGTTATTAAGGAACCTGAAAAGGAAGGGAAGTGTCTGTGTGTCTGTATCCAGAAGAAAGGACCACATGCTAATGGGTTTTATCACAGGAGATAAATTCACTGGCACAAGCTGTATTGTATATAGTTCTGTACACCATCTTTGTGACATATGTTGTAGACCATAATTCAACATAGAATTGTATAATTACTCTGCCTTCTAACTTAAGACTAAATGAGCAGCTGTACTTCACAATATCTTTGGTTTATTTCTTTTACTTTGGAAGAAGATAGGAGTAAAACAATAACAAAAACTTGGTGAATGGAGCAATGCAGATTTTTTTTCCTCTTCTAAGTTATATGCAGCCAAATAAACATTTATTTTCCAGCAGCAAAGCTGCTTTTTCAGACCTTCCAAAAGGAAAAACTCCTGGAAATGTTGTCAGAGTTGTTGTACATCAATAAAAGACTGAAACTTCACTTTTTTTTTTGACTGAAAATCTATAGACTTTATTTATCACTTCAGGGTTTTGGTGAGAAGAGAGGGGGGGGGGAAAAGACATGGGAAAAGAGGGAAAGTAGTTCTTCAATTCTGAGATCAGCAGAGCAGTCTAACAGAGGATTATTAATATTAATGTATTGTGATTTTTTTTTTTTTGTTTACTTTAAGTCTTAGAAAAGCTGTCTAGAGGAGGAAGTTTTCAGCCTTTCTCTTTAACATACTGATGGAATATTGTTATCAGTTCGGAGTCTGTATTTGAGCTGCTGATAGAACTTTGACTCAAGAAATCGAGGGTAGGAATCTCTTTCCATATGCATGTAAACTACTCGTTGTGCTTCATCGAAACAGGACTCTGTTGGTTCCTGTAGGTTCCTCACAATTGATTTCTTCACTGGGCTGTCAATGTTAATCTGAAAACACAAATCAGCATTCCTGAAGTATCATTAAATATTTGCAAAGGAAGGTTGAAGTTAAATGACCTGTACTGAACGTCTTTTATTTCTGTTTTTACTTTTGTGTATTTTAAAATCAGCACTTCATTATTTATCTATTGCAGCAGTACCTTTCTCATTATGATGTCAGAAAAATCTAGTCTTTGCAGCTGGATGGGGAACTTGCTCTTCTGGGGAACAAAAGCCTGACAGACTTGGAGATGTCTGAATGTCCCAGTCTATCGCATGCTCTTAATGGAAAAATATATATGTATGACTTAAAAGAAGCAGTCCTGAGGCTGTAGGCTATATAGAAAAGCTGCAGGAAAAGCTTTTTTTTTTTTTCCCCAGCATCTTAAGGATGGAAAATGTATGAAGTTATATGAAGTTTTTGTGAATCTGTTAGCTTATGATGAATTGCGTTGTTTTGTTGGCTTGATTTGGTCTCTTTTCGCTGAGAGGAGAGCTCTAAAGATGTGAAGTTTGTGCTGATGTTGCTTATGGGCCAGGGTGTGGCTATTCCATAGAAGTCAGTTGCCTTCTTTTAATTTAAATTTGAATAAAATATAATATTAAAATTGAATATTAACTGTGTCAAAATTCTCACTTAGCATCTACCTTTTAAAGAATGGTATCTAGCTCTTGTGTTAATAGTGAATATAGAGAAAAGGCAACCAAAGTGTCCTGAAAACCTAGATACCTAGGCAGCCAGTAGCAATATTCAAATACGTAATATTGTAGGGGGGGAAAAAATACACAACACAACTCATTTTTAAACAACTTGTTCTTAACTATCTCGATTTAGCCTAGATTAATGGATTTGTGATCGGCAATACTTACACTTCTTTCTCAAAAACATGAATGCCTTGCTGAGTTTCCTATAGCAGGACATGCTACTATTATATACACACACACTCATCCACCCCAGTAAGTAAATAAAAAGTCTAGAAAAAGACAAAAATGAATTATACTTTCAACTGTGTGTTAAAACCAACAGTCTTCAAACTTCCTCTACTTCTACATTAGTGGGAGTGGTTTAGTCATTTAAAGGAGCAAATGAGCTCAGCCAGCATCTGGAGACCAAGCAGAGCTGGGTTTGGTTTGGCTTGGCCTTTGATGTCAACAGAGTGGCTGTGTTTTGAGATTCTGTAATTTATTTATGATTGTGCATACATAAACCAGAAAATAATGAATGCAGATCCTTCAGCTATGTCATTCTGCTGGGACAGAGGCAGTAAAAGCCAGTATTAACTTTTTTCGAGGAGGGTAATAAGCCACACAGGTTTAAGTCAGAGAGCAGAAGCTTTTGAGGAGGAGTTAATTTTCTGCATGGTCACCTGAATCTTTTTTTTTTTATGCACAAATCTTCAGTATTTTCCCTAAACCTTATGGTGCTGCAAGTGTTTAACTTATTTCAGAATCTATCAACTCCTTTTCTAAAGGGACAGGGCTGAGTGGAGTTCTTCATTTGATTTCTGTTTACTCTTGCAAAGACCAGATTAATATTTGCATGAGGGAATGGCACTGTTCAAGATCTATCGAAGTGAGATCAATGGCCCATGGATCTTTAAAAGAACAAAGATCCATGAATTTGGGTCTTAATGTAGCTGTGTATTTACATGCATATATGGTGTGTGGATATGTATGAAGCGTTTTCTTATAGACAAAGCAGTGAAGGAAAGTGTTGATATTATGGGTACAGAAGAGTTTTAGGAGGATGAACAGGAGTCTCCAATCACTTTATGAGAAGTTCTAAATATCTGTTGCATTTTATAAGCTACATTACACTTGAGACAATTCTATAGAGGAAATAAAAAGCTCATGTTAGGGTATGTCACCTCTTTTGGAGCCTGGGGTTGAATGTAATTTGTAAAAAGTTTCCTGGCCACATAAATCCTTTTTCTCTGTGATGTGATCTTCTTATAAGCTTCACAAGCAAGCCAGAATTCTATGTTTTCATCACTGTGCTCTGTCTTCAAGTAGGTCTTGTAGATCATTGGTCCATCTGTAAACGTTTTGAAAGCCAAACTTCATATACATCATACCATGTATATAACCTTGAGAGGCCTTTGAAGGTAGTAGAGATATTTATAAGGTAGTGTGTATAACTGTTCTACATCTCTAAATATTCTTATTGAAAGATTATATCAAAGTGGGAAATCAAATGTACTAATTCACCCTAGAACTCTATATTTTGCCATTGCATTTTGCTATGTGTGCAGAACTTCCTTTCAACTTTAGCATTTTGCCATTCAGGAGCACTGAAATTTGTGCTAGGCACTGTCTGAGTATTGCTGGCAGCCACAAGTGTTCAACTTCAACAAAGTTTTCCTGTTGGTACAGAATTTTGAGTTTCACTTAGCTAAAGATGACGTGTTGTGATATAACAGAAACTATGGACTTGCACCCAATTGTTGCTTTTTTTTAATAAAAAAAATGCTCTTTCTCTGCTTTCCTTACAAAGTGTAGCCGGCCAAGTTGGTTGCTGTTAAATGTTTTACTTGTAAACTCTGCCTTTTTCTTCATAGTTACAAATTCTCATTCTGTTCTTCTCGCTCTCAATACTTCACTTAGTTTCAGAATAGGGGCTACCCTCAGAAATAGTTTTGAGAAGTCTGTGCTGTGGCATAACTCTGGTGACAGTCTTGTGAATATTAAAGTTCAGCAGGGATGTGTCAGTCAGACTGCAAGCCATGCAGAGGAATTTGGGACTGCTCTGAGCCATGAATGAGGCAAGGGGATAGTGAAAGGGAATATTCAGATTTTCTGCTGTGGCTACAGTTCTTGCTATATGAAGATCTTAGTTGCCTTCCATGGCATGACACTGTACAGAAGTGCCATTAGCTACGATGTCTTGGCTATACGCAGTGTTTGCCAAGTCACTTTTGCTTTCGGTTTCTTCTGTGTGGTGCGTGGTAAGCACAACCCCCTAAGCTGTTTTTCAGTAGCTGCATGTAAGATAAAGCACACAGCATACTGCTTGTCTCGCTGACTGTGCTCCGTAAGAAGCTTTTTCAGTAATCCAACTGGGATACAAACGTGCATTTACTTACGTTTACTTGTTATCAGCTTTTCAAAAGACTGGGACCACTGTAGCACTTCATCCAAAGACACCCTTTAGGATAAAAAAAAGAGAAGATGATTACAGAATTAGCCATGGCTCAAACATATAAATCATACATAATTAGTTATTGAAAGTCTGTTCCCTAATTTAAATGAGATGTATGGATCTTGTATTTGAAAGAGCTTTTCTGTGTATCTTATGTCTTGTGCTTACTAAGCACGTATTCTCTTCAATACAGCATATAGTTCCATCTTGAGGTGCTCCTATCTAATTCCTCTGGAAATAGTATTCACTGATTTAGAGTTGTGCTCAGGTGAAGCACGTGGTAAGTAGTGACTTTCTAGATTGTAACCAGTTTGATAGGGGAATTATGTGATTGATTATGCAACGTTGACACTTGTATTTAGTAGCACAAGACTTTCAGGGGCCCAGATTCTTACTGTAATTATTAAATGACCAAGTTGCAGTTAAGTTGACTTATCAGTTGAGAGCTGAAAATAAGCTCCAAACCTAACATAAATACTGAATGCTTAACATAACCTCAGCTGTAAGGTACATCCTCTCCATCTCTCTCCAGTTGTTTACAGTACAGTAGGACGTGCTATTACTAATCTAGAAACAGTTCTTGAAGATGAAACCAGATATCTGTTATACTCAAATGGCAATTTCATAAGATTGTCGGAGTTTCCTGCCTGACTCTGGGAAAAAGTATGGAAGCGGTGAGGTGAGAGACTAAACACAGGAAGGTAAAACAAATGTTTAATGGCCAGACTTGTGCACGTTGCATCACTTAGACCAACTGATTTTTAAGCCTTGCAATTCTAGGAGCTCAATGCTAGTAACTTGGAAAAAATGCTCCCGCTTACATTAGTAGAAGAAAACACAGGGATGTATTCCAGTGAGTGCTTTCCACTATGAGTCAGCCAGAATTGGGAAGAGAGAGCTTCTCCGAGTGCTCCCTTTTCGCATGAGGTATAATTTTAGTGATTCTAGAACTGTAGCATGTAGAAGATACTTAGCACCTCAGAAGAGATATTCACATATCTCCATAATGAAAAGCAAAATCAGCTTAAGTATGAATGCTACATGTGACTTCATAGGCTTCTGCTGCACTACAGGCACCAGAAGTTTTGTAGCTTTCAAAACTGGTGATTACCCTTTCCTCTCTAATTCAGTAGAATTCTCTGACCAAGTGTACTGAGGCATACTGATTATTGTGTCAGGTTTGTGTGATCAGAAGTATATTAATACAAATCTTATTGCTATCAAATTATAGTGTTAGTAGCTCTTGGCGATATGTTTAATTCTCATCAAAAGTTCTTTTTTTCCCCCCTCCCACGTGTTAGTGGCTCTCATCTGTGGAAACTCGTGAAGCTTGTTATTGTGGGAGGTGAGAATCTTTATTCATCTGAATGTTCCCTTTCCTTGGGAGCCACTTCTGAGTCGCAGTCAGTGTTACTGATGCAGATAATTTTTCACTCCTGTCAGCAATAGAATTTGTATATAGAACAAGTGAAAGTCTTGTCTGTCTCACCGAGCATCATCAGCAGGGCCACCTTATTTCCATGTCTGATTATTTGCCTTTAGCATTAATCTTTGAAGCAGAAAGAACATGACCTGATGGGGCAGCTGCTATGAAGGAAAAGCTTTTTACTTTTTTTTTTTTTTTTGCCTTTCCTTTTGGAATCATGAATGTTACTAAGGGAAATGTGAACAGTGTTATTAGTGCCAGTCTCATAGCTGCTGTGCTGACTGTGGTGTTTTCACAGCTCTAATTGACAAGATGATTCAAATTGCTGGAGAACATCTATTACGCTGAGAAACACGAGTATTCTCCACAGTTATCTGAGGCTTTATAGCTGGGATTCCATTTTTTAACATGTAAAACGCTATTGCCAAGCCTTGTGGGAGCTGTAGTTTGTTTTTATTCTCCCCCAGTGCCTGGGATTTCCCTGGCTGCACTCCATCAGTATCCCACAGATTGAGACATTGTTGTGTGGAAGAGAAGTCCTTGTCCAGGAGACACTTCTGGAAATGCTCTCTGGATTTCTGCTGAGCTGTCACTTAGCCTCACACAAATGACAGTCAACAGAAACACCTCAGTATTGCTATGGAGGATGTATTTTTCTCCAATCAGTAAAAAAAAAAAAGTAGTGTCCAATCTGATAACAGTTCTTTGGCGGCTGTTTTGAATAGAAGCTTTTTAGCCACCCTGATATACAACATGCTGACCAAAACTTCTGGCTATGCCTGGCCTCCAATGAGCTTAGATGCAGCTGATGACTTGCAGGAGGCACTGCTGCTCCTCTTTTCCACTTCACAGCACAGCTTCGTGTGTAGAAGGGCACTCATGGATTCAGTCTCTGCCAATAGTCTGAATTCTTAAAAAGAACTGGCACAAAATAGGGCTTATAGATTCTTTTGGGGCATAAAACTGAGATTAAACCAAGGATTAGGTCAGGCCTGTGTGTAATGCTTAAAAGTTCCCACTAGGATGCACCCCATTTCCAACAGAGAAGTGCTAACGTACACAATATATTGCAAAGCAGTTAGCTGCATTGCAGTTGGTCAGCTGGAGCAGTTGTGAAGAAGCTGCATGCATCTGCATGATTTTAGGCTTGTAAAGAAAACTCATAGTGAATTCTGTGGGTTTTATATCTCTGTACAGCAGAATGTAAGAATTGTGTCATTACTTACTTAGAAATGATCCCATTTTCTTCTGCTCTGAATGTCATGCAAAGCCAGCAAGTATTTGGACTCATTCTCCTAAACATGAAAACTATGTGAGTTTTTAACTTCCTATACTGATTTCTGACCATCTTAAATTCTACTTGTAATTCAGTCCTCCATGTAGCTACCTACTCTAACAGCATTCTTATTTTAGACATCTAATCTTTATCATATTTTATTTTAAAGCTTTTTTGAAGTTGTGGCTGAACCATTACTCCAAAATGTATTTTTGTAACATGCAAAAACTTAGGCAGTTCAACAGATATTTCTAAAGGTGGGAAGAAATAGAGCTGATATTTTCTTTTCTTTCCCAACTGTGAAAAGAACTTTAAAACAGTGAGCTTCACCAAAAGGAAAAGGAAAATAAGGTGGTTATTTCTTTTCTGAAAGGACAAATACACCTGGATCAAGAATCAGAGCTCAGTGTAAACTGGACAATGTTCAATAACTGAAGTACAAGGCAATAATTTGCCACGCAGTTACCAGCTAATCAATACTGATTAAATATTGCTCTTACATTTCTTTTCATATAGAGATGATGTTCATGAGAGCAGGCATGATTTGTACTTAAGGACAAGGTTGTTAAGAATATATTTACATACACACAGAAAGACAACCAAACATGCAAGAAACACAGCAAAGAAAGCAAAACAAATCCCATCAACATTTTCTGACCTGGATTATATCCCTCTCCGTTTTCTTTCCAGAGAGATCAAATGCTGTGCAAAGCTTGCAAGGGATGGAGAGTGAGTTTACATAGATCTGCCTGAAAGCATATCAGTAAATCAGTTATCTTGCACATTATTTATTTCAGCTCATAGTTTCTTTCAGGTTTGGGTTTGACTGGCATATACTATTCTGGCAGCCTAGTTTTCCTTCCAACTCAAACATAATAAAACAGAACAAGGCCATATCTCCCAGTGCAGCATTCTGAACTCGTGAAATGATCCTGGTCTTAATCTTATTAACATCCAAATCCAGTTTGATATTACATGAGAATCTTACCCAGTAGATTTCCTACAGGATATCGAAGCTTCTTAACTTCCCTTAGTGTGGTACTGCAGCTGGGCTGTTTGTGCTCCAGCACCCCTGTAGGACTGCCAGTGACTGTTGCTCATTTCCTACTTTTGTGGAATTCTCTGAACTGCGCTCTGCTTGTTTTCTGTATAACTTCCTCTACATTTGCCTATTCATATCACTCGTATTTACAGTGATCTCACCCTCTGCATAGAAGGGGGATTTTAGAACAACATAATATTCTATATTTAAAATCGTTGCACATTAAATTCTGGCATAGAATCAACCGTCCCCATTGTCTTATTTTAGTCTTTACCTAGTGCCCTCCTTTTTGTATACCTTCATGTTACATTCACTGGTCACTGAAATACAAACAAAACACAGCCTTTGAAACCTACAGTTAGTGCTGCATGGAAATTCCTCAAAAATATGAGACCAAGCAGTAGTTCAGCTTCTTCCATCTAAATTCAAAGTGTCATTCATTATCTTTTTTTCTTAAGGTGAGAAGTCACATTGTGTAATGAGATGTTGTTGCTCTGAGGAACGTTTTAAAGCAGAGTTTGAGGTTTTAAAGAAAATACTGTGCCCCAGAGCTGGCTATGTACATGCATTTGCTAGCAAAGACAACCAAGACTTCATAATTCTCTTTACATACGAAATATTTCCAAATAGGCCAAGGTACAAAGTGTGCTGATCTTAGTTTTTTTTAATATTTTATCTTTATCCTTGGGTTTGCTTCATTCCACAGAAGTATGTAGTCTGTACTCCATCAGTTTGTCACTTGTTACTGCTGGCAATGATGTTATTCTGTAAACAAAACAGATCCAGCACACAAAGCTACTACGTGCCCTCGTGCAACGTGTGCCAATTTTGCATTGGCCAAATGTCACAAGTACAGCCTGTGACCTTGTCTCTGTTTGTGCCCTATTCTACTGTTGCAAATGGTAGCACACGTACGTCATAACTTCTCTGCTTTGGTAATTCAGCCAACTATTTGGAGGCTGCAGGAGCTGTTTTCAGCTGGTACATATGAATGTATGATGAGTGGGGAAGAGGATATTATGCAACATTTTTTTTTTGTAATAATTCACAAGTTTTTTTGATATGTAGGACCTGTGCTTTCCACAGGGCCTTAATCAAAAAGAATGTCACATGGCTACAATACTTGCAGAGGAATTACTTGTCTGATAAATGAATCTAAGACTTGGGAGTATTCACTTGTGTACAAGATGTGATATGATACCAATCTAGAGCGTTACTTATTTTTGAGCTCCAACACATTCTTTCATAGAATCACTACAGTCAGACCTCCAAGATCATCTATTCCAAGTGTCCTCCTGTCACCCATATTTCTCACTAAACCACATCCCTCTGTACAATATCTGAATGTTTCTTGAAAACATCCAGGTGTGGTGACTCCACCACCTCCCTGGGCAGCCTATTCTGTTTTGATTCACAGCATCTGTATGCCAAGCCAGTGAATTGTAAGCTAACCCATGTCGCAGGTTTTGATGCACCACGCAGGTTTTAGCAGAGCCTTTGGGGAGAAACAGCTCAAGTTCTGCTCTGTTGCCCTCTGTGATGTCATTCAGACTTATTTGTACTAGGAATTTTGCATGAAATATTCATACGTAAATGATGAAGAAGCTGTTTATACATCAGGAACACTTCTTAAAATAATGCCTTTGCTATTTTGAAGCAACTTTACGTGCCAAAAGTGTTTCCTTTCTTATGCTGTGCTTGTAAGCACGAAACATCATATCTACAGAAACTCAGATATCCTTCCCCCTGGTTACAATTTTCATTTATTAGCTGCATTTGTAGAGATAAGATTCTAAATTCCTCATGTGTGTGTTTTTTCTTTATTTTCTTGAAATGCAGAAGGTCTTACTTCCCTTTGGCTGTGTCTGCTCTGCATGTGCTGGCGCCTGTCTCATCTCCTTCCTTATATGTGCCATAGGCAAACTGTGCTTGTGGTTTCTATCAGGAACAGTTCTGTTGGACTCTGCACCACTGATAGAGGCTGTTTGCTCTGAAGTTATCTGGATGTCTCTGCAGATCAGCTACAATGAAATTAAGCTTTGTTTTACTTCATTTAAATCTTTCATGAATTGTCCAAGTTGGTGACTCATATTTTTAGCCAAGATCTACAAAATCTGAAGTCCATGCAGAAACAAGGTGCAAGCACTCTTGCACTACGAACAGGCTTGGTTCTCTTGCATTGTGGGGCAAGAATGTTATGGGGGAGCTCTGACCCATCAGTGTGAGGTGTGTTACGCTTATAACCAGTCAATGTGGTAATGTGTGCAGTCTGAGTAATGGCACTGTGGAACTTCACTGAATGGTATGAGGTCCTTTGGTATTTTTCTCCTAGCTGTTGCCCAGGTTATGACCTCATGTTAAATTAAGATTCAAATTATCTGTACCTCATTTATTCTTTGTTGAAGTGTTTGCAGTGGAAGCAGCCATGCAGTGCTGCTGTGATCAGAGCACTGAAGCTGCTCTGTTTGTCTCTAGTGGATTGTAGTGATACCAGGGCTTTGGGAATCAGCACTATCTCGTAGGATTTGGGTAAATTAGCAGAGAGGTGAAAAACTTCTTAGGAGGTTGACAGTAGAAGGCTTTCTGGGGTAGTTGTGACTTCTGGGTACTTACCAGTGCCTACACTGGACATGATGTATGGGTCAGGAGTGAAAGACTGGCTTTGTATATCTGAAAGTTCTTTTGCATAACCTTAAATATCTTTTAAGGCAAGATCATTTCCTAGTGAACTTAAACTATGTAGTGATTAAGTATTGTTCATGAGTAATTAGTGACATTGCGATCAAACATCTTTTGCAAAGTAGAAGAAAACCACAACATGTCACTGAGGAAGAGGTTGTCTGATCAAGCCTGTGTTATGCTTTCCCTCTTGTTACATGGATATTCCACTAGATGTCATCTGATATCACTCTGAAGAAGAAGATGCAAGTAATCAGTTCAAACAGGTCTCATGAGGATGGATGTAGGTTTCTGCAGGCCCTGGGGAAACCCTCTGATTGTGATGAATGGTCTTACCTAGCCTAAAAGGGATTTCTTATCCAGCCAGGAGAGAGAAGGGGACAAGCAAGTAGATGAGGCATTTGTTGGACAGGCTGTCTAACAAGGCTTCTGATACAGCCTCGTTCATTTGAATCCTTAGATTGCATCATTAGGGTGCAGAACTGTGGTGTTGTAAGGGTAAGTGCTGTGTAGGAGCCATTATGCCTGGTTCATTCAGTAGTTGAGCTGGATGTGCTTTACAGGAAGAAAACAAAGTGAAGGAAACAGAAAAGCCAAAGATAGAGAGAAACAACTATCAAGCCAGAGCTGCTTAACTTGTCACTTACTCTGGCTAGTTCTTTTTCCAAGGATTAAATATATTGTCTAAACTAGCTGATACTTGATGACTGATTTTCTTGCAATTCTTTTCTTGTCAGCAAGGATAATGCTTCCAGACAAACTCCTGCTCACAGATTTATATTTCTTTCCATTCTTTCCCATGTTCACTCATTAAATAGCATCCTTATTAATTCCCGTGCTTTCTCTTTATTCTTCTTTCGCTCTTACAGTCAATCTTTCCTGTTTGTGTTTCTATTTTAATGCTCCTCTGCTCATTAAGCACCTCGCCTACCTGAACCTGTTTCACACCAGTGAACTTGGAAGCCCTGTCTGCCTCATTCTCTGTATTGTACCCGCTCTTTCCATCCACCCACACTCCATTGCTTGTACACTGCTACTTACCCTCCTCTTTCTCCTACAGTACACCCACACAATGGCATTCATGAATACAGGAGCACTGCTTGCTTGGGCTTGCCTTGTATTCACATCCTTGAGGCTCTGTCTTATAAGGGCAAGTAAATAGGAGCACTGAAGGTGTGCCAGTTGGTTTAGGCTCACACTCAAGAAAAGACACTGAGAGGCCTTTGTTTTTCCTTGAGGAGCACATGAAGTAGACGCTGTGATCTATGTCCTGTCGTGCTCTTCACTGAGTGCACGTAGTATATAAAAGAAAAATGGATCAAAAGTCTTGCTCTTAGCTTAGTATGGCCACTGAGTTTTCCAGTCATATGTTTTAGGCTATACTTAATGTTGTGGCTTTGACCAGCCACGTCGGGGACCGGTTCCTTTGCTGGGAACTTTCTTGCTATATATCTGGAAATAACCTCAAGAAAAGTTAAGTTCAGCATGCAACAAACATCCATTCCCAGGGCAACAGACCCCTGCAGCAGACCACAATGACCAATTGTCTGCTATTAAATGCGTGGTGAAAATATACTTTGCTTGTAGATAATAGCAGGCATGGCTTGCTAGTGTTTGCTAACTTGAAGAATGGAAATTGTTTCCATAGTTATGAGTTCTTTGGGCTTTGCCCATAGAGTTGGATAAATCTTAAGTTGTCACTGATCTCTGTGAACTTAAATAAACCCCTGCTTAGTGGAAACAGTCTGGAATATTGCTGAAAAGTCTAGATAGAAGTTCTGAAAACCTTCACTCTATCATATGCTATAAGCTTTCTCTTCCCTTTTTCTTCCTAAGAGCCATGATGTCATTGTGTGAGCATGACGTTCTGCAACTGGCAAAGGAGAGGAGGAAATCATATGACTGGGTGCTTGCAGTGCTTTGAACACGAACATTCAGCCCTCCCATTCAGTCATGCTGAATGGGAAGAAGTGGGTGCTGTGCCCCTACACTGACACTGCACTCTGTCTGGCTCCTGTTAGTGAGCTCACACATCTCAGCAGTATGCAAGGCTACTTACATGGGCATCATGTGAGTGGATTCATTTTGAAGGCATTCATTCTCAGTGGCTACGTCCTCATTAAGAGAATTACTGTAGTTTGTTTTTAGTGTCAATTTACTGATTGCTATATGCTTCAAGCTGGTCAGAACATTTGACTTGTTACCCTGGGTCTCCTAACCCCCTTTGTTCATCCCAGCACAACAGCTCCCAGCTGGCCATTGAGTTCTGTTCATGTATTCTATTCTCACTGTTTCTTCAGACTGGCATGAATAAATGCATTGCGTAGCTTAACCTCAATGCTGGTCAAATTCTGTTCAATAGCAAGTTTCCCTTCTGTATATCTAAACCTATCTCGACTTTTATAGTTGATGACCCATACAGTAAATACAGTACAGATTTTTCCATAAGTCTGGAAGTACGAAGTATAAAACTCATGTGCTTATGAGTTATTAACACAGCATGTTTATTCTGTTTTATTTTTAAAGATTGTCTTTTAATTACAGAGCACAATAACTTGATAACATAAATAAAAACCTGTGACTCTCATAACCAGAGATTTGTAGGCAGTTGTAACGTCATTTAAGTGCTTTGGCTGTGTAACAGACTTAGAGTGACTGATTTGCTTTGTTTCCTTCTGTGCACAAGACTAAAGCTTTGCTGGAAAGTTTACATTTCTTCATTTCTTATGGAAGTTATCATTAATTTTATTAGTAAAAAAGGCCGTGTGAAAGCTGGCCACCATCACAGCTCAGGTTAATGCTTTGGGGTTGTGTGGTGCATAGGCTGCTTGAAAAAACAGAAGGCACTTGCTTTGCTCAGTGCAGTTTTAGTACTGGTGATCTTTGGGATTTGCCAACTGCTTTCTGGTGCTGTTTGGAAAAGTGAGTGGGAGCTAAGTTTATTTCTAGAACACACGCATCCATGCTTGATAGGTCTTAAATCTTTGTGACTAAGACCTTTTGAGCTGTAGTTGTCTGAACAAATGAGGGGACAATCTTAACACTGACTTTGTTTTTGAGCATACAGGAGAAAATTAAATCATCCAACGAATAGTAAGCAAGAATTTGTTTTGCAGTTTCTACTCGTGTCTAATGAATAAAATCTTCCTTTCACAGAGCTTCGCTCATAGAGATAACACTCCAAGATAATCAAGCCATATTTCTGAATGGAAGATGAAAACATCTAGTTTTTCCACCTATTGTCATCTGGTCTTTGCTTGTAGACCCATTTCACAGCCACAAAGGAGACAATGACATCCGGAAAGCCCGTTACTTGAGAATGTGGGCACAGACAGATGGCATTTAGGAGACTAAGGTGACGAATTTGTGGTGTTCTTCACCATCTCAGCTTGGCATCGCCTTTTAATTTCCTTCCTGCTATCACGTGCAGTATGCCTCCAACAACAAGTTTAATATACATGTCCTTTCATTTCATATGAGAGACTAATACAGTGTTATCCCATAGTTTCAATTCCGTGATAATAAAATATCTATTTCAGGGAATATATTTTCACTAGTTTGGAAGGATGAGAGACTAAAGTCAGGCTTCCAAATTCAGATTCAGCAAACTTGGCCTCTTGAGTCCTTCCATAATGAGAACTCTCTGCAGCAGTGAAAAGTTGACTCACCTCAAAAGTATGCCCTAAGATGGCACAACGATTTTTCTACCCTGAAACCCTGGCAAACAATGAAAAAGTTTCCATCAGCAGTGGAAGGGAACTCATAGAGCAAAGTCTGAGTCACTGCTATCAAATCATAAAGCTTATCCCTGCACTGAATCCCATTTTCCTGTGCTGACCTGTATCCAATCAGCAATCTGAATCAATGGTTTTTCTTAGAGTCTGTGGACAAAACTTCAAGTTTTCTTTCTTTTACTGTTTTTTTTTTTTTTTTTTCCAACAAGGAAAAGCTAAAGCAAAAATAAAAATAAATCAGCTAAGCTGTTTGACACATTAAGTGTTTTGTTGTCTTGCCTGACTGAGCCTTCAGGCATGCGAAAATTCAATTCACTTTTGCACAGAGTGATTCTGGAAATTTTTAGCAGGTAACACATAATTAATGCAGCCTAGCATATGTTTAAAAAGAGGACAGTTCCCCCACAGCTGCCTGCCTAATTTACAAGGGAGCAGCTGGAGCCTGTGCTCACAAATAATGGCTGTGTAACAGGGACTGTTTTGGGAGAGTCTGCCACATTCTGCAGGGCTCAGCCCACAGCTGTGACATCCATCTGTGGCCCTGGGGCTGTTGGTGAGCAGGGCTGGGAGGAGGAGATGGGTAAGAAATCATGGATGAACTTGATAGAGTACGTTTGCCTTGTAAGTGAACTGAGGGTCACAAAAAGCAGTCTTTAATCCCTTCAGTTGTGTTTCTGAACCCCACAGAACTAGATTTAGGCAGTGTTTCAAGGGAAGAATTAATTGCAAAATGAGCGCTGCATTTTGAAAGAGATGTTGCAGAAAAACCTGCAATAACTCTTGGGTGTTTAAAAGCATGTCAATGAAGTGTCTCAGAATGCTTTGTGCATTGTTTCAGTTGTACCATTGAACTATCACTTATAACTGCTTCTCTTTATTAAATGGGTGGCTATGGACAGCACAGTAAATCTCTGTTGAATACTTGGACCATGTTTAAACAACCAGCTTTGTATGTCCCTGCTATAGCAACAGGGCTATAATGCTGGGCTTATGACAGCATCCCAGAGACAGCTTTGGGTTTCTGCTGCGCTGTTTATTCTGTGACAAAACTTGGTTGTGCTGCTAGGGCCCCTGGAGTGGGCTGGGATGTCTCTGGAGGTAAGAACCCAAGCAGCTGACCTGTGTAGTTCTCACGTTCTTATTGCAGAAGAGGTGTGGGCAGTGCCAGCCCTCTATTGGAGTGAACAGCGGCTGCTGTGGAACTCAAACCCATGACAATGCTCCAGGGCCTGCCTTCTCACCATGGTTGTACCCAGCTCTGAGGACTACATTGAGATGGAAGTGTTATACCCACCATTACCCCATCCTGCAGTCTTCCCGGACACAGACAACTTCTGACACTCTTCCCTGGCATCAACAAGTCATTAGAAAATAGCAGCCCTACCTCGCCATGCTATGTATGATTTTGGACAGAAGGGTCAAACAGATGTTTGGCAAGATTACAGCACAACTGTGAAACTGCAGTTTTTGGGGTATAAATTAGAGTTTATATAGGGTCTATATGAGTTCAAGAGGTTTAAGTTCAGAAGAATGGCATCACTTCAATGTAGTTTCAGTTGTGAAAGCAGCTGATGTGCTTAACAGGCTTTGTGGGAGCACCTGTAGTGCTGTGACAACATCCTGTGACGTGAGCAGTGGAAGTAGACAGCTTTGAGGAGGTAACCAGTGCAGATGAGACCCGGTTCCCTAAGCACAAAGAGCGCAGGTACTCTTATCTTTTGTGGCTTTTAAACTATGTGATCACTTGTTTGTCCAAACATGCTTACCACGTACCGTGAGGATACCCTGGTGTGGGAGGCAGAGCTGTTTTTTGGTATCAGTTAGTGTTAGAAGTGGAAGGATGTGCTGCTGTGATGATGAGGTGATGGTGACAGCAGCTGCCACACAGCTGTGCTGTGTCCGGAAGAGCTGTTTTCCTCCCCTGGAGGCCCGAAAGTCCCCAAAGGGCGGCAGCAAGTCCCCAGGAGCTGATGTCTGTGGGTTTGCAGCTGCTCTATTTGATATAGAATAGCTCACTGTGCCTGACTAAGCTCATGTTATTTTTGGAAAAGTGAGAATCTCCAGGGGTGAGATCAAGTCTTGTGTTGCCAGCCACGTGACAGCTGTCTCTCATGACAGTAGCTCATCAAGACCAGGGGATGCTTGGGTTTATTTTCATTATGAACTCTATTGTCACAAGATCTTAATCACTTCAGGCGCATGCACTACCAAACTTGTACTTACATAGTTTGTGTATAACTGCAACTTCTCTTTCCTTAGTCCCATGACAGTACAGACTACACATAACATTGCATATTTTACAATAGGTTTACAGGGTAAACTTAATTCAACATTTGCAGTGAAATTAAATGCCCGTTGTTTGCTGTCGTATAGTGCTAATACCACAAGTAATGTGACTGCTGATCAGTTACCATCTCTCTATGTAAGCAAGTGTGATTGATCTGCTGTGCTAAACATCAGCATTGAGCTGGATTAACTGTGAGCGTAGTGGTGAGATGACTTCTATATTTGAGGTTTGACTCAGGTGCTGGTAGGTGGGGGAGTATGAAAAAGATGGGAAACTTCTGGATTTTTTCAGTAGATTTAATTGAAAAGTTTGCAATAAATTAAACAGAAAATGTACAGAAAAGATGCTACATGTGTTTGTTGAGCACAAACATAAAAAAAGTACAGCTTATATAACTTAGAATATACCAATTTTAAGATGAGTCGATATATAATATATTTACATCACACAATATTATCATAGAGCTGTCAAACACTTATTAACACTTCACAGATTTCAAAAAGCCATTGCACAGTCTCAACTGAGCCTTGTCTTGTTATATATAAAATTGTCATCCTTATTCTTCTGAACCTTCATAATCTTTTCCCATCAGCAGTTCTTTGGGTTTCTAACCCTTGGTTCAACATTCACAGTAGAGTTCAAATAATAAATAGCATCCATATCCTGTCTTGATTCCATGTTGTAAGTTAAGGAGAGGATTTTCACCCCATGTTGCCTTCACACTTATAACAGTCTTGTTAGCTCTCATCCTGCATTTTCTTGCCCACAGAGCTGTTTGCATCCCTCTTGTACCACCTCCTAAGGCAGGTGTTCTCTTTGCTGAGATCCAACCGCCCCGAAGAATGTGTTCACAGAATATTTGACACAGAGTCTACTTGACTCTTTCTTCTCTCAAACACGTTATTTTGAATTGCTGGTCTGCAGCTGATTCAGAAGGTTCAGGTAGGTTTTGGATTTCAAGAATCTGGGATATGAATCCCTTTCCATGAGGATGTAGACAGTTCTCTGGGCTTCATCAAAACTTGTGTGAGTTGGGTCTTGAGCCCTTTTGGCTGTTGCTTCCCTCATCTGATGGTCAATATTGATCTGGAAGGGGAAAAACAATTGTTGGTGACACATTAGAAATGTATTCTTTATCTGTAGGTCGGTATTGACAGTACATAAATTCCTAACTAAACAATAGAGAAAGTAGTAAAACAACCTCTAGTTAAACCTCAAGTTAAAACAATAGGAGAAATCTTGTGTAGGACGAGTCTCCAGTTAGGTATGCAATTGATATACACAACTTCTAATTCTCTAGCATGCCCCCATATTTGAAAGGACTGTAAAAATCCATAGGATTCCTACTCCCGAAGCTCACTTTCAGGTATCTGACTCTAAGCACCAGCAGTAATTCAAACTGAATTTCTGAACTCAGCATCATGTGCTGAGCCACTGGCGCTGCTGCTGAGCTGTTGCTCGCACTGTAGCACTGCCTGCATCCTGTGGCTCTGATTGTGAGCTCTTACAATATCACAGCTGAAGCACAAGCACGCTTGAAAAACATGTGGCTGTGTCTTCTTCCTGTGTAACTGAATGAATGTATGCACATCTCAGAGAATGCTACTATTATCTGATTATTATTTTTTTTTAGTATCCCTGTAATGAAACCATACAGGTAACTTTGAACTTACCTGTTTAATAGCATCTGACTGAACAAACTCCTCGTAAATCCTCTCTGCTTTGCCATGTAAGTGATCAGCCTTGGTTTTCTTGTAATCTTCACAGGCCAGCCAGAACTCAATGTTCTCCTCGCTGAACTCAGACTTCAGGAACTCCCGAAAGACACCTTGACCACCTGCAGCCAACATGAATACACACAGAGCATGATATTTGTGTCTGGGGATGGTGAAGTAAAGAGTTCATAGCAGGAGTTTAGTTGAAATCTTGAGTATAAAATCTTGATGGAAAGCTCTGTTCTTTCCTCCTTTTACATTTTACAAATATTCCAGTTCCAAGGGTAATGGGACTCTTCCTAATGATGTCTAGGCCTTGTAGATCTAGAACTGGGCTATCAAATAACATCCCTGGATTCTAGCCTTCCCTAAATGGGCTCACCTAGGGTACAGCTATCAACAAAATTCCAAATTGAATTGGTGTTGTATGCAGGCTGAAAACTGGTCAAAAAAACCATTGTTCTGGGCCTGCGAGGGTTTATTTACTCCACTAGGAGTAGGAAATGGGGATATAGGGGAACACAATACCTTAGAAGGAAATTAGAACATAGTAGCTGAGAGCTGAGAATAACTAAAAGGCAACAGGCTGTTCCCTGTCAGTGTTTGCACAACACTATAGCTTTTGCATATTTGGTGAACTTTAATAATAATAATGATTCTTCAGAACAAGAACAGTGTAAAACCTAAGTAATGTACTTACTTTGGCTGGCCAGGAGCTTTTCCAAAGACTGGGACCACTGTATTACTTCCTCTGCAGAAAGCCTGAGTTGACAAATGAAAGAAAAGGTTTTAGACAAGAAACCACATGTTTTCTTTTGTGTGTTTAAAGGAGACAGGTTTTATTATTCTATTCCAGAAATATGTACTGCGTATTTATTAAACTTACAGCTTTCTCAGTGCAGATGTGGGAGCCCACACTGAGAAAAATAACCAGAAAAATGGAAACGCAGAGGTTTAAGGGTTATCCTGATTTCTGTTCCCAGGGAGATGAGCTTTTACTGTGACTATCAGCAAATAATTTTTTATCCTTGCTACTTTTTCCATATTTTTGAAACGAGGCTTGTAATTCCTCTGTGATTTTCTTGTGTGTGAAGCATCCTTCTTTGTAAACTGTTATAGAATGAGTACAATAGGCCTCTGAATGAAAGAGATTTAAGCATGGTGTCCACTCTCACACCATTTGATGAAAACATAAGTTAAGAAAGAGCTGCTAATTCCATGAATAGTTTCTGCTTCCTAACATTTTGGACTCTTTTGGAAGTCCTAGGCACTATTATTATACTAGAAGTAATTTCTTGGTGTAGAAGTAGGATAGAAATTATTAAAAAAAATAAAATAAAATTATTATTTAGTAATCTAACTGTAGATATGTTTAAATTTTTCTTTTCTTTTCTTTTTTTTTTTGTACTTACATGACATTCCTAGAGTTAGAAGACTTGATTCCAGATTCAAGATGTGGTACCATGCACTTCAAATAGTTCTTGAGATCTGCACCACTGAAAACAATGAATAGACATTTGTAATCCATTGAAGTTATAGATGCATTTCTATTCTAAGTGGATTTCTTAAAACTTAAAGGCAAACAGCTCCATCCTATGACTGAAGTCTGGAAAGTCACATATCCATATCCATGTAGTTATTTTTAAAAGACTAAGAGACTCCTGGTGTCTCCAAAATCTCGTCCTGCTTACTTAAATGATAGAGCTGGTTGGTATTAGCTCAAGCTGCTTTTAGCAATGCTATAGTCCTGGCCTTTGGGAGGGCTTTATGGTCCTTTAGCCCGAAAAAGGCGCGAATTCTTTATCTCAAGACTTAGTATTATTTTCATTTCTAATACATTGAAGTTTATACTAAGATATATACTTACAAAGCCTTTTGCTTCTTTTTATGGATTTTGCCTTCTGCGAGCTTGCAGTCCTCCTTTCCATTTAATTCAGTCATGTTGTTATGGGAAAAAAATAATCCTGGCATTTTACTGAACTTTGATGGGAAGCGCCTCTTGCAGCGATAATCCTCCAAGCACCAAATGTCAGTTTGCTGCCTGCTGCCGCCTTTTATTGACGCAGGCAGCCCCGCTGGTTGGTGTGAACAGATCTGTTTATCATGTAGCCTCACCACAAACTGTGGAAGTTCCCTTTTTTTCAGAGCGCGGTGACGTGAGTCTTTTGAGAAAGAAAACAGACAGCAGTGTCTCGTGGTTGAGGTTAAACCGGATGAGACTGATTTACTTTAGGTTTGTTTTGTGTGTCCGCGATACCAAAAACCCCAAATAATATCCCCTCTAGAACTTTGAATTCTTGCCTTTCCCTAGTGAATTCAAATCAGTGTTTCTCCTTGAGTTCATCTAATGGGCCCCAAATATTGCAGTTTAATCTTGAAAACATTCACCTGTTATGCGTCTGATACACCACGTGTACTAGAGTTGCTTGCTTTTTGTGGGTTAAAGAAAAACTAGAACTGTGTACTCTAAGATACACCAATATCAATGTTCCATACGTAACAAATGTATGTCATTATCACAGAATCACAGGATGGCTTGGGTTGAAAGGGACTTTAAAGATCATCTAGTTCCAATCCCCCTCTGTGGGCAGGGTTGCCCATTACTAGAACAGGCTGCTGAGGAGCCCATCAAGCTTGGCCTTGAATGCCCCCAGAGATGGAGCACCCAAAATTTCTCTGGGATGCGGTGCCAGCACCTCACCACCCTCTGAGTGAAGATCTTAAGCCTAACATCTAACCTAAACTTCCCTTCTTTCAGTTTAAAACCATTTCCCCTTGTCCTATCACTACCTACCTGCATAAGTAGTTGTTCTCCCTCCTGCTTGTAAGTTCTCTCCAAGTACTGGAAGGCTTCAATGAACCTTCTCTTCTTTGAGGTAAACAAGCCCAACTCCCTCAACCTTTCCTCATAGGAGAGATGCTCCAGCCCTCTGGGCATCCTTATGGCCTCCTCTGGACCCATTCCAACCCTCTGTACCAGTTGCTCTCCAAAGATTACTATGTTAGATAGAGGCATCTGATTTGTTTAGCCACACGTGCTGTGGGAATGTTAAACAGTTTTGATAGGAAATAGTTTCAGAGGAGAGAGAGATTATTTGTGAGCTCACTGCTGTATTTCAAGAAAGCCTCTGTAATTTTAGGTGATTCAGAATAGTATAAAGATGAATTTAAGGTACAGAACTGTTGTTTTAAAGGCAGTATGATCATTATAATGTGTCTGAGGGAGGCGTCCATTCTTTCTCCATATATATACTTGAATTCCCCTACTAAGAAAGCACCACGAATACAAAGCAAGATGAATTGTTACCTTGAAGAGAGAGAACTTGCCTTTGTTTATTTGTCTGGACTTTAGAGGTGTAAGTATTTCATCTCATCTCTGGACATCTCAATGTTTTGCTTTTCTGGACAGTTTCAAAGACTTTTTAAAAATAATGTTTACGAAGTTGATTCTCTATAAATAGTTCATGAATTATTTGTGTCAGGCTACATATGGTCATGGCAACAGAGAAGTTGCTCTCTTATTTACAGTTTCATAATGGACTGTGGTACAGAGGTCTCAGGAAGCCAACACACACGCAGGAAAGCCTGTCCGCATCAGACTGGTTTGACCACAGGCAGCAGCTGATCCTCTGAATGCTATTAGTGACATAAATGCATAAGCATAGGCTGTACTGCAGGAAACAGTTATCTTCATGCTATCAGGTAAACACTGACCTTCACACATACAGACTTATTTGCTAACTGCTCTTCCTCTCTCTGAACGGGGCTAAAAAGGAAAGAAGAGATGGTATCAGTCCTTTGTTTGTTTTCATGCCTGGTATGAACAGTGAGGCTGGGGGAACTGAGTGTCTCCAGGTAGCAGCTGTCTTCAGTGAATTACTGGGGGGGTTATAGGGATGCTAGATCCAGACTCTCCTCAAAAAGGTGCACCCCAGATTTCTTTCTGGGATAATTTCACAGTGAGAATGAAATAGTGGAGCAGGTTTCCTGCTAGTTGAACAGTCTGCACACCTGGAAATGCTCAAAGCAGGCAAAGCCATGAGCAACCTGATCCAACTATGAAGCTACTCTGGCTCTCAGTAGTTGGACTAGGTAGTTGCTAGAGATCAAGGTTCAAAGGAGAAGGGAATAAAGCTTGAACTTTCAGTTACGAGCAGTTGTAAGTAAGTCAGCAGCCAGGTTCTGTGTCTAGGAAGAGGGACTACTTACAAAGAGCAGGCTGGTTTGCTTGTTTTTACCTATTAGCAATGCAGGACTCTTGACGCTTTATTTGCTAACGAGGAATGCCTACTGCCCATCTGAAATGAAGTTACTATCTTTACCTAGGGGATATGTTAAAAATATCAATGCATGTCACAGGTGTTGTTTCAGACCTCCTAGGAAGGGATTATCATGTGCTACTGCAAGGGCACTGTGCATCTTCTTGCAACAAACATTGTCTTGGGCAAATAAGATATTCTTTTTTACTTGCATCCATCTGACACCGGTGTTCTGCAGGGTTTGAATTATGTTTACCAGGTACTCTTTTGTTTGGTAGAGAATATCCATCCGCCAGCTGAGCTTTAGCTTAGCAATGAAAACAAGTGATTTCTTTGAAACGCTACTGTCTCTTACATGACCTATAGAGATGAAATACTGATAATCCATCTCTTAAGCAAAAGAGGCTCTTAAAGGAAATAGAAACTAGCTTCTATGTGAAGAGGAAATGGTGTTCATTTTACGGAGGGCGGAGAGTCCACTATTGAGTAGTAAGGGTAATATTGTGGGTTATTAAATTTATTGTCTAATATAATTAACTAGTCCATAATGGAGTGATAGCATCCCTTATGAATTTTCTTCTAGGTATAATTTGTTACAAGTGAATGCTTTCAGGAATGTAGCCCTGAAGACACACATTAAAATCTTGCACGTGCATTTAATGGTCTCACTGTTGGTGTTGGATTGATGTGACAGAATTATTTGGATTTTTTTGGCTTGAACTTTTATGGTATTCCTTGTTACTTTTTACTCCTAATTAATTGAATGGGAATTTTATTTTTGCAATCAGTAAGGTGTAACCAGTGCTGGTTACAGGAAGACTTGAATATTTGAAAAACATTTGAAGCATAATACCAATTTGCAGCAAGGAATGACACACATTCAAATTCAGTTAAATATCTTCCACTTGAAAAAGTTCCATTACATTTATTCTGTGGACAACACAAAGGACATGCTTTGTTTCTGCTGAATTACCAGCAGAATGCTCTCGGGGATTTTTCCAGGGGTCCACTCAGCTTCTGCAGAAAACCTGGTAGATTCTTATCTTGATAGTGAAGGAGTGACCTGTCAGAAGCTCATGAAATCACTCTGGAGAAGACAGCCTCTAAGTGATTCTTCCATATGGATCAGATGGAGGTTAAATACTGTTCATCCACTGCATCCATTCCCAAATGCATTTACATGCGGTGTAAAGAGATTGAGATTGCACAAGGGGAAACCCTGTCAACCCCTGAAAGTTTGCAGAAGGCTCTGAGCTGCCAGCCTTTATGACTCTATCCATGTTAGCAGTTTCTCTGGCTACCTCATAGGGCTGTTGTGAGTCACCAGTAATTATTGGAAGTCCTCAAAAAAAATTTTTTTTTTTAATGGTGAATATACATAGAATCATAGAATGGGCTGGGTTGAAAAGGACCACAGTGATCATCTAGTTTCAACCCCCTGGCCACGTGCAGAGTCACCAACCACCAGACCAGGCTGCCCAGAGCCACATCCAGCCTGGCCTTGAATGCCTCCAGGGATGGGGCATCCACAGCCTCCTCGGGCACATTGTTGTTTTTACAAAGTTCCTTTTTTTTTTTCTATGCCATTTCTTCTCTACAGAGAAATATTAAAAATATTTTATGACAGATGTTGTTAGCGTTACCAGTTCTGTTCATATAGCAGAGTCAGTGCAAGGGATTGTGTATGCATTATGTCTGCATTCTGCTGAAGCACATCTCTCATACCGTAGACTGCAGTAAGCTTATACAATTTATCAGAAATCAGATCCTTTTCATTCTGGGGCTTTCCATCAGGAATAAATTAACTGTTTTATTTCTTTGAAGTCAGGGGACTTTTGGTTCTCAGCTGTGCTGACTGACACCTGGATTGAAGAAGAAAAAAAAAAAGCACAGTGAGTTTTAGCTGCTGGTGGTGATGCTTCCTGTGTCTGCTGCTCAGCAGTGCAGGAAATGTGTTCAGCAAGCACTTATCTGGGAAACGCTCACATTTCTTATAGCCTACCTCACATTTTTTATGCGCCTGCACATTGGTGTACTGAAGCAGTGCTGTGTTTCTTGTGTATGCTACTAAGCAAAAAATGTGAGAAGAGGGCCTGAGGTGGGGAGGTGTGAAGCAGAATTTGCTGAGTGTTCTCTGGGAACGTAGAAAGGAGATGTGAGCACAATGCCCATTTAGCTTTTGAAATTAGCGGTCTTAAGTTTCACATCAGTAGTAACGGAGAAAAATCAGATGCTTTTTTTGTGTTCTAACTGGGGTTAAGATTTTGGATCTTTCATTTTTAAAATGGCAGATTTTTTTTTATTGAATATAAACAACAACCTAAAAACACCTTAGGTGTTTTTGAACAGGAATAATAATACCAAAGAATTAGGTGGAGTTATGCTGACAAAGAGTTTTTGTAGAATTACGAACACTTTCAGGTGTCTATTTTATAGTTAGTATTATAAATTTTCTAGTTGAACTGATGCATTAACACAGGCTCAACTTTCACACTCCTATCAAAAAAATCTCAGGGGGACAGGTTCTTTTTAAGTTTTAGAGCACAGACTGGTGGGCCTTGTCATTCAAAACCACTGTGCAGTTTTTCAAGGACCATCTGAGTGTCTGCTCTCAGGTGTTGGCTGTTCTATCTACCAAATACAATCTTTGTCAAAGGAGGGTAGTCACACCCTTAAGATGGATTTTCCTAATGTGTGATTATTAAGTCACAGTGGAATTGCCATGTTCCTCCAGTGGGGAAAACTCATTTCTTCAGCATAGTTTCTGTGATAGTCCATAGAAAGATTAAGAAAACCGTGCTCATTTCTGCAATGTGGTCTG